CACCTGTGGAGATTAAACGATCGACGGTATCTTCGTCGGGATTTTCTCCGGTGACGGTGAAGTACCTTCGCTGAATCGTCTCTCTGTATTCAGTAGAGATCGTCTCTCTCACTCGATTGAAACTATCCATAGCATCTTTCAGCTTCTTCCTCAATCCATTAACCACCGACGTTCTTTGCCGGTCCGACGATGAACCCGGTCCACTTTCCGGTAAACTCCGGTTAACTTCATTCGCACGATCTAACGCCTGGAGGTTTCCTTTCACGCGCTTCGCCGTCTTGAGAGCCGAGGAGACGTCAGAATCCATCTTCTGTTTCAAGTCTTTAACCGCCCTAGCGTTATGAAGCGTCTTGCTCTTCTCGTGGCTTGATCGGAGGCTCTGACATAGACGATCGAGCTCTTTAAGATCGTCGTTCACTACCTCTACGTCGAGGAAGAACTTGTCGAGGTTGTTGTTCCCGTCGCCGGAGAGTTTGGCTTTCGGCATCTCGATGTTCTGCGATTGCGGCGGCGATGAATCGCGGTTGAAAGAACGGGAGAGAAGATCATTCATGGCTTCGATTTAAAAATTCAGAGAAATTTGAGGAATTTATCTTTTGATCGAAGTTGTGTTGTTACAAAGTGTCTTTATAATTAAGTAAATAACGAGTTATAATTGAAAAGTCCGAATTAAACGCGGGTTTGAAATGGAAAGTGCTTGGCTTTGCCTTTGTCAATTTAAGTTCACCTAACCGGGTTTTGCTTTTTGAGTGAACCGAAACACGTTTTCCAACAAATTTTGTAGTAACTGAACCATATTTCTCCATATTATGTTGGGTTAACTAAACCACGTCGAGTACCAGATTTTATGTGTGGAATCGGTCAAATTTTCATGAACTTGTTCAATACGAATAGATTTTAAAATTTTTGTTGTTTTTTTTTTAATTTATTGGTTGGTTTGAGTGTTTGAACCGGTCGGTTTGACGGATTTGATTGGATAATTCCGAATATAAACCAGAGCTGAGTTTCGAGGAAAGTGGATAAGGGGATGAATGTGATGTATTGAAAAATTATGCAAAGTGGAAGATTTTACAATGCAAGTTTCGTATTAGTCGCCGGAGACAATTAAGACGAATGTTTGAATTCGTCGCTGTCTATTTCTTATATTTAAATGTTATGTAGTTTCTAACATATGATTCTTGTGGTTTTGCCGTATTATTGGTATATAATGAGTACTTTTTTGTCCAACCATTTGGTATTTTCTCCACTTTGTCTAAAGAATGGACTAAAATGAAAGCAACCGGAAAACCTCAACCAAAACAAATTTGTTTAACTTGAAAATTGAACCCAAATTTAATTATAAACCGAAA